TCAGGCTTGATTTATCTGGAAAGATATGTATGTACTCATCTACTTTATTACAGCTCATTTTCTTAGTGGGTAGCTATTATCCATAAAGTTTAGTCCAGGAATTGATGGCGTTGAATCTTGAGTATTTTTACATTGATCTTGTCAAGAAAAAACAGCACGTTAAACACTGTTACAGTCCAATGCAAGTTTTCATTTAAAAAAAAAAAGCAGATTTTATATTCTTTATGTTTTTAGATAAGGAATTAATCTATATTCTCCTGTCCATTTTAAGGTACTTCTCTAATTCAAAATGTTATTTCATACCTCCAGGTTAAAATTTCAGGATCTTCTCATTTCTACCCAAACAAATTTTAGAGTTCAATTCAAACCATGCAAACCAGCACATCCGAAAAAGTTACAGTACTCCTCTTTACTTCACAAAGCCTGAGGCTTTGCTAATTTTGTAGTGAGCTGGATTTTTAGAACTGTATTTGTACAGTTCAAATGGAAAGAAACCAAAAGGCTTTTCTTCTGCTAACAAGGGCTCGTGTAACAGCACACTGCACTTTGTTTCTGTTGCTATACCAGTGTTTCGACTTTCATCAGTCTCCATGCCAGTAAAAAGACACAATAAAGGAATTCAGACTTGATCAAGGTTTACTGTGCTCTTTTCAAACAGAAGACCAAGGGTGTTTCTAAAGCCACAAAAGGACATTTGTAGCAAAGTTTTTACTACTGCCAAATACTATGCTAGCAGCAAAGCTTTCAACAAGAGATTCATGGGCTGCCATGTTCAGAAGATGATTAAGATATGCATCAGACCTATGAAGATCGGAACGGGAAGTAGAGGAATGGAAAAAACAGTAACCTTTCTGCTGTACTGTAAGTCAGGCCACTGCTTACAGTCACGTGCTTTAAGAGCTGAGCCGAAGTAATCCCTTTAAATAATTCCTTTAAATGCCAGGGTTTTTATTATGCCAAAATAACTTACACCTTCACATTTACACCTACACAATGGGATATCTGACAAGAACTTGGCAAATGTCTATCTTACCCCAGATATTTATCAGCATTCACTTGGGTATCCAAAACACAAATGCAGCTGCCTCAGAGGCAAAATGGACCTGATGCAGTTTTTGAAAAATGTTGTTTGTTGGTTTGGGGGTAGGGTGGGGTGTATGTGTGTATATATAGAGAGATACGGAATATTTAAATGGTCATTTATTTAAATGGACATCTAGCAAAAGAGAGTTCCACCTGTTTACATGCAAACATATACTGTTTTGGGAAATGTATCTAGCTGAAAGGGTTAAGGCAAAACTTAGATGTAAGTGCTATGTTAGTAACATGGTTTCAGTGCCTTTGTATCATCCTTTAAAGAAAGGGCTCAATGACAGCATGCCCACAGTAAGCAACACTGAACAAATACTCCCCAAAAGTCAATAGTGGCAGCATTACTAAACTCCACAGGAAATTACATCTTCAAAACCCATATACCCATGTTATGTATTTATGGATGGAATGGATTAACCAGTAAGTAAACCGGATGTAGCATGCATAAAGCCTTTATCCTGGCTGGAATTATGCACAGTGCTTTGCCTGCCTTCTCCAGGGCTGACCTCAGAAAATCAAATATGCTACATAGCTACACAGCTCAGGTTTTGTTCCATAAGGAAAGGGCAAAGTAGCTCCACAGTTTTGTGTTCTAGTTGGTTTTATGGACCATCACTTGGCACTTTGTCTCCCTCTGTGATGCGGTCTCCTAAGACTTGCAATTCTGCTTTAAAAACAAACAGGATTTTAAAATGCTTGCAGTGAACAGCTCTTGACAGCTTATTAGCCTGTGTCACTTGCTGAAGTTTGTAACAACAACATAGTTCTTTCACTCATAAAGTGAAATGACAGATAAAATATGCACTTTCCTGAAAACCTGAGTACAAGATGGCTACAGAAAAAGGAGAGAATCCTGCTCTATTTACAAATGTCATGGAGATGGTCTTAAATTTGAAACTAGACTTGCTCCAAGAGTCCCTCCACCAAAACTTTCAACAAAATGTTGCCAGCTCATCTTCACCCACCTTCTTTCTACGCTGATCCCTTCTGAAACAGTCAACGGGACTTCCAGACATCCCCACTACCACTTTCCTTGATCCAACTAATAAAATGAATATGCAAATCAAGAACACCTGAATGTAGTGCTCCAAGCTACTCAGCTCAAAAAATGTGGCCAAAATTGTTGATTTCCTTTATTTCTCTTTCTTCTCCTTCCTCAGAACTCCTCTCCTCTCTCCACTCCTGCTGTGGGAGAAGATGGAGTTCCCAGTGGCCTGCAGACATTTGGGGGTGTTGGGGAGCAGACATGTGTCACCTTCTACAGTTCTCCTACTGTCCTTCCCTCTCAGGAGGAGGCGGACACATTCAGAAGACAGCAGAAAGCAAAAGCTTGAGCTCTGTGTTCTCCTACAACTTTCAGAGCTCCTGCCACACACGGCCAGGCAGGGAAAGAGGAAAGCCGGGCATCAGGCACATTGCTTGCAGGGGAAACGTGGGCAAGCACACACACACACCTCAGAGTAATAAGCAGCCTTTCAAAGCCCAGAAAACAACAGAATTTATTTTCCTTGCACTGAAAATACGGAAACAGGATGGGATCGAGTTTCTCATCGCTGCACAGGGCTCCTGTGCTGCCAGTGTCAGATGTGATGCAGTTTTTCAGGCAGGTGGCCACTGCAGGAGGGCTCAGCTACACCAAATGGAATTCAAAGCTTTGCTTTCAAATGTAATTCACTCCTTATTTCCAGGGGGAAAAAAAGCAAAAAAGTAGTAGTAAGGAAAATACTCTTACCATCTGACACAGCTGGTCTTAGTAAAGAGACTAAGAAGCAACTTTCATGCTAGAAACCCTCTCTGACATTTAATATTAGGGCCATAAAAAACTCAAAAAATACCCTAAGTGTTGGGAAAACCAGTGTGCAATCCACCAAGATCTTCTGATACAGGCAGAACCTGAGTTAAAATCATAAAAATTCAAGTCTAAGCACAGAGCAGAGTGAAAGCATTTCCCTTCTCTCCAGCCAGTGTTCCCTCATATCGCAGACGCAGTGGAAGGAGCCTTTTGACTAAACATAGCAATCGGGACCAGAACAGGCCATTCTTCCTTCTCAGCAAAAGCAGTAATTGATAAACACAATTTCCAGCTTCCCTAGAAAGAACTAAGATGCTCTTTAGCACAATGAATGAGCAATGAACACTGTAAAGATGCAGACCTGTTCTAAAAAGTCATTAATAATTATGTGTCATTGGACAATGTGACATCTGGGCATCAGTTTCAGGTTTTCTGCATTTATGCTCAATAAGAAGTTTTGATTTTGGTGGCTGTAGTGCCCTCCTTTCCTTGTTTCTCTTTTTGTCCCTGTTTATCATTTACAAGACTGTCTTAAATTTTGTTTTATCCTTTGAAGTTCAACTACAAAGTTAACAACCAATTATGATTCTAGTGCAAGATAAAATATACAATTCACAAAATAAATAACAAAGTTCCATAAACATTAGTAAATTACAGCCACACTTCAACGAAAAACAGGTCTCAAGAACTATAGTGTCAGAAATTTGTTTCTCCATCAACTCTTAAATGTTTCTACATAGCACTATATTGGACCCAGGTACGTCAGATGTTTAGGCTGCCATCAGTAACTGTCAGCTAATATGATTAAGAACCAGATTATTGCAGCCTTCACTGGCTACCACAGGAAGGGGACACAGAGGAAAGGGTGGCTGATCTGATCATTCACACAAAGCAGCAAAGGTGGTAGACGGATCATTACCTCTCAAAGACAGGAAGTAATTACTTTTAAAACAAAGCTGAATTTCAGCATTAATGATCTTTTTTTTAAGGCATATGTAATAGAAAAACAGCAGGGGCTTCTTAGTGTTATTATGGTGAATAGTCACACACACATTATCAGTGAAAGCTTAAACAAGATTTTATTATTTACTGTGCCTTACCTCCATCAGAAAAATTTGTAACAGGCCTCTCACAGCTGCTCCTTTTCCATTTCTTTAAAAAAGCTTACAGTGTTACTGTTGCAGAGATCTAGTATTTCTGATTAATAATCTACTAAATGCATGCTCTAGGTATTTGTAAAGACCATACAATATATGAAATGTTATAGTTGTTAAGAGTTCATGAGTTGGCTGTACATCTAATTCTTCTACAATATCTTGGCAGCTTACTCTGGAGTCCCAGATAAAAGCCTATTACTCTTATTCCATGAAGACCTTTCTCTCTTGATGAAAAGTTCAGCATAAAATAGTCTTAGAGTACATAAAATGCAAAAAATTATTGCGGTATAGAGCAATACCAGTTTTTATGAGCCTAACATCAATTCCTGCATGTCACTGAGTATGATATATAGTAAGAATGAGGTTCTAAAAAAGCTATTGAAAGTCATTATGTTATAATCTGTATCTCTAATATTTTTAAGAATTCAGGTTTAAAAAGTGCCCAGACATGGTTTTCAGCTTAAACCCGCTTGAGCCAGGCAGCCTTACTTCACATAAACTTCACTACCTGTGTAATGTAATCACTACCTGTATAATGTAATCATACGCAAGATCTGCACAGCTTCCATCAGATCAGCTGCTATTTACAGTGCCTGCTTTCAGGACGCAAGTCCTGCTGACTTTTTAAGAATACCCAAATTCTCATGCTTTGCAGAATAAAGACAAGCAGCACGGCTAACCATTTGCATGCCTTTAAACCCCTCCTTCATAGAAGTCAATTGCTTCACCACTGCTCTCAATCTTTTTAAGACTGTTGTATTTAAAAGAAAACACTTGCCTCTCACTTATATACCAGAAAGTTCCCATGGTAGCCACGATGCTCAGCTGAAATCTGTTGACAAGGATGGGGCTGAACCAAGGATGGGGTGTTTTCCCCGAGAGGGTTAAGTGGAAGAAGAGGAACTGACATTATCTTTCACATTACCACTATGTAGGGAAGAGTATGTCACACTACTCACCCATGCTCATCTTAATAGGTAAATTTTCTCTGCTCGCAGCCTCCACAAGGTGTCTCCTAGCCTCCATCACAGCTTCCTTTTGTTTGAGGTTCATGAAGGACTCCCAGAGAGCTTTGGCAGCTGGATCACTGTAAGAAAATGACAGGGTTACACTAAACATTGCTTGAGTAATGGAGCAAGCTTAAGACAACATTTATATTTTAAGATGAGTGCTTCTACGTAGTAACTCCTCTGAGGTGGGCAGGACGCAAGCGAAAATAAAGTGATATAAAAGCTTGTTTTTTCTTAGCGGAACAGTTGCTACAGTTTTACAGAAAAAAATCTAGAATTTTTTGCTAGTAATTATAAAGCATTAGAATTCATATATAATAAATATATTATTATATGTCAGCCTCAAAGTAACCACTACTGTTCAACCATGGGAATATCAGAAACAGTCCAAACTTCTTCAGTTACCAAAAAGCTATGAAAAGGATGGGCTCTAACTTCCCCATGAGAGTTTAAATCCCAAAACCAATACTTCCAACACTGAAGGCTGTTGGTATGATTTGATGAACTACCGTCACTTTGGGTTTCATGGATTCTCCTTACATGAAAAGAATAATCCATAGCAGAATGTAACTGTCCTTATGGTCTCCCTGTTGACAGATTTCTTTTTTATTATTGCTAAACTTAAATTAGGAATTTGTGTGGCTCATCTGCACTCCGTTCCCTGTCAGTCTTCTCTCCCCTCCAGGACACTGGATCTGTTGCTGTTGTGAATGAATTCAGTGTTTTCTGAGGGCGGGGGGTGGGGGGGGGAAAGGGGAAAAAAACCCCTCGCCTGGGGCTAAAGCCACACACTGGGATTCTGGGATTAACTGTGTTGGATTTTTTTTTATTTATTTTCTTTTTTAAAGAAAAAGCTTCCCTCTGGTTTTTCCTCAGGAGACATTTAACTCCTAAATACATTTTGATGTCATTTACAACATGCTTATAAACATGCCAAACAAGCTTTTGTTTCACAGAAAATAAAAAAACCCAACAACTCACTTGATACCTGTTACCGAGCAGCTGTGCTTACACTCTGCTGCAATGGCAGGGCTGTATTTAGGAAATCTGTGCTATGTCCCAAACCAGGTAAGAGGATCACCAAGCCCCACCCCTGTCATCCCAGGAACCCACATCCTCTATCAAAGCCTGAGCGGGTGGAAGGGCCGTGGGAAGAAGGTTGAGTTACCCTTCTTCTGACAAACCACAAATGAATAGGAAGAGCAAACTTCATCATTTTCATTGCCATGCTTTAAGAAAGGAAAAATCAGATGACCTGACACAGTCTTTCCACCTCTTTCACGTAGTGCAACTCAACCTTCCTCCAGTGCCGGAGGAAGGAGGCAGCACATCCCGAAGCAGCCAGGGCATCTGCAGCTCCCTCTACTCCATTGCCAAGCGCGATCTGAGCACTAATGCCGCGCACTGTTCATAGGCAGCAGCTCCAAGGGGATTCCTCACAAGAAAAAGCACGCCAATTTATAATGTATTATAGTGCAAGAAATGAGAGATTTCCAAAGCAACTAGATGCTTCAACACAATCTCCCTTAAGTATTGGATTCTTGGGTATGCTATTTTTACAGACTATCTACTCAATTATTATGATTCAGTCCTACTCACCCAGCAGCACTTTTAAATGCAGCCTATTGATCCTGTTCACATCACAATTACAGGGTATGTGTCACTTACAATCGTGCCTGAGGTTTGGATTGCAAGAGGCCACTGCTTTGCCTGTTAACTAATCCCTTCCTGAAAATGCAGTTCCAAATACAAAACTATAGAGCTCAGGAATCAGGCCTTAACCAGTAGGAAGCTAGTTTTAAAAAGACTTTTTTCCCTATTTGGAAGAAAAGTCAAGCTTCTGTTTTCTAAGATTTTAACCTGTTCTCATTTTCCCAATTCCCTTCATCACCATAAAGATGCGCAGAGAGACTCACATAAACACAGACACCAGGAGATAAAACTTTAAAACAAAGGAAAACAAACAACGTGAGGAAGCCAAAATAAGTCTCCCAAATTGCGCACAGGTTTTTGTAGTCTCATCTTTCTCACACCCATACTTCATAAAGGTATTTAGCAAATAGTAAAGTGTGGAAAATTCATCCCAAAAGCATCTATAGACCTCAGTAAAAGTCAGAATGTATGTGGATAAGGTTGCACCATTTTTCTACCTGTTGCCTTTGCATGCTGCTCTCCACTTCCACACCACGTGTTGATCAGTCCTTGTCAATTTAGACTGCGAGGTCTTTGAAAGCAACATACACTATACTTGTATAATCACAACGACAAGTCCCTGCTTCAGCTGGTACTTCTACTTGCTCATAGCTTAAACAATAAAAACCCTCTAAAATAATAGATTAATTATTTTGAAGTAAAAAAAAGAGTCATACTAATGCACTAAAACAAAATGGTGGGGTGGGGGCTGGGAGGTGGGGTTACAAAGCTTTTTGCTTTGTAAACCCTTTCTTCCTCCTTTATCCACAGTAGGTTTTCTTTAATGCCAAGGTCCTAAGTTTGCACGATCCCCAAGGGTTGCTTTAGCACACCAAAAATAGCAAAAAGCAAAACAACTGTGGTACAGCCTAAAAGCAGATGGGGGTCAACCACACTCCTGTACGCTTGCATCTGCGTAGTCCACTGGAGTTTCTCTAGACATTTTTCTTCCCACTGCTTTGCAGAATACCTAGTGGTTTAGGTATCATATATAGAACAATATATAAACAGGATGAGATCAATATATATTTATAGCTCACATACACAGCCAACTGACTGGGTCAATCCATTGAAAGCAGCATTTCCCACGCTCAGTCATTTTTTGGAAATACGATAGGGGGGAAAAGCAACAAAAGTACTTGTATGTTTTCTACTTAAAACACTTTTCCTGTTCCCCCTCTATTACACCTTCAAAGAAGGGCTTTTGCTTTGAACAACTGCCCATCCTTTAATTTCATCAATGACAAGACAGGAATGGCTGCTGGGAATGAGTCAGTAGGACGAAGTACAGGACTCTGGTGTTGCCTCTTGCCTGATCTGAGAAGTTACCACAACATTTTCGTTTTAGAGATTTCTAACACTCGGAAACAATATTATCTTATCTTCCCCTTTTGGTGAGACATTTGTCTGTGACTGCCTTCCAGCTCTTGTCATGGTGCCCTTCCCCTCCTCTTTTTCCCATCTGCAGTTCCTCTGCTTTAGTCCAAATGCCCCAATCCGATGACACTGGCACTGTAATCAGTGAGTTGTATGGGATCCAGTACACCAATTCAAATTTCTCCTTCCTCTTGCATTCCTTGACTTCCCAAGGATTATTTATTGATTTTACACATTATCTAGTGAACTGCTACACACTGAAGGTAGTTTTCCAAAATTAAGTAGATTTTTTTAAAAAATATTTTATGCACTACAAAACCTTTAAAGATACTGTCTAAATCACGTTGTTTTGCTTAAGAAAAAAATAAATTCTTTGCAGTTATGCTACAATACAGATCAGGAACTCTAAATCACCCTTCAAAATAAATGTCACAACACTAGGTAAATATTACAGTGCACACTTCTGTACATCTCTGTTAAAAAATGTTTTGCAGGGCATGGCAACCCCGAGAAAGGGTTTCACCAATAAGCTTAGAGTTTTGCTCACAGGTTTTGATACCCCGTCCCCTCTTTTTATTGTTATGGTCATAATACCTAATCAACCAGTCACCTCAGAAAACAGAATAAAACCAAGCGCAGCAGTTATCTGCTAGACAAATTAGAAGTTTATTAAAGAAAAGCATTACATTATGTCCAGAGATAAGGCTGAAGTCTTTGAAAAGCCCTGTTAAACAGAGCTATACCATTTGATATACATAAAGCAAGGTTTTTGACAGACATCTGATAATTGCAAATTTATCCCTTCCCCTCATACATAAATGTTACTTTTTTTAAATGAGCCATTCTCTGTTGCAAAACTAATTAAACTTTAACTGCATATAATTTGGACTTTAAAAGAACAACAAAAAAGGCTATAAAGGAAGAGGGAGAAATCTAGACACCTAAAAGATGCAGCTTCCCTACTTCTGGTATTTGCATGCCAGTTTTCAAAGCTCAATTATAAAGACAAAGAGGAAAAAGGGACCAAATCATCAGACCCATAATCTATACAAATCTTAAAATGAGACATCAGCTGGCAACAGTGGCAGGAAAGAGGTGCTGATGAGAAGCCGGTCAGAACGACTTGGATGTTCTATGCTGACCAAAGACAGCTGTAGGCAGTTCAAAGCACCTCTGATTTGCAGCCTCCAGAGGCACTCTTTCTTTAATTAAAGATAGAAGAGATGGAAAAATAAAAATAAAAATCAAGAACAGAACAAGTTAGCTGTGAAGTGGCTAACTGGCTGGCTTCCCAAATTTACAATACCCAAAGAAAAGGCCGCTCAATGAAATCTGCCGCTGTTTGCTGGTAGCAAGATGCCAGGGTGAAAGAGCCAAAGCCTTGAGCAGAAGTAAGGGTGCAGTCTGGCAAGGAGTTCTTTTGGCAATGTCATGCTAGCTTCAGCAACACTCAGTGTGGGGGAACTTGTTCTCATTCCCATGGCACCCCTTTCAGTTGTGGCAACACGTTCCATGTGGGACTATGCATTGAGTCGGATAGGAAAAAGTTGGTAATTTTTCAAGGCAGCTCAGATCCCTAAACTAATTTGCTTGATCTGTACATTTACAGGTTGATAATCAAATGCCTAATCTTATATCTGTTAAAATAATTATAACTCATTCTCTTGATCTGTTCTGTCCCAGTCCTGCAAGGACAATACTGCCAAGGTTATCTGACAAACAGAAAGTGCCCCTATCTGTGATCATCTGTAGGCTTTGTCTAAAAGCTACTCATTTTGAATGCATTTGGGGAGAACAGGCGAGGTTGGTGGCACTGGGATGTGCTATTACCAAGCTGGAAGTAGTAGTCTGGAAGTAGGTGAAATCAAGTGTTAGTCAATGGAGAACAAACTCTCAGAGTAGATGCAAACCTAAAGGCAAAGACAGAAACCTGGGGACACTTATTACCCTGGGAGGTCAAATCATAACACCACAATTTTAGACTTGGCTGAAATGACATGCCTCTTGC